TGGGGGATAGTGAGGGGTGGGGGGTAGTGAGGGGGGCCGGGAGGAAAGGCGGGTTTGGCCAGAAGAGCAGGGCGTGGGAATAATTAAACCAGAGAGGATCTCCGAACGTTCTGCAGCCCGGAGCCAGAAAACCAGTGCAGTCCAGTGGGCAGCTTGAAGAAACGCAGCTGGGTGCGCCGGACCGGGGAGCATGCGCTCCTGTCCAGCAGGACCCGAGGGGCCTGCTGGCAGCGGCCCTGGTTCCTCCGCGGGTTGGCAGCAGCTGGCAGAGGGAAACCGCGTTGGAGGAAGCCCAGCCCCAGCTTCGCCCGCAGTTAAGCGCGAGATCCGGGCTGCGGTCGCGGTGTCCCTGTGCGCCCCAAATCCCAGGATTTTCTCCGACTGGACGGGGGAAGGGGCTATGCCTCACGGAGTGACTGACGCCTGGATCGCACTCCACCCCCGAGGCTCCCATGGGGATCCCCACGCTGCACACAGGGCTGGAGACCCCCCTGGTAGGACGCCCTCCGAGGGTGTGGGCTCACGTGCAGCGTGGAAGGGGAGCTGCCCGGCCGGCGGGACCCAGCGCAGCTCTTCAGTGGGAGCGGCACTGCCCCCGGCAGGGGAGGGGTGTCAGGGCGCTTTGAGTGGCGTCGGCGGGTGCTGCGGCCGGTGTGAGAGGGAACAGGCTGTGCTTCCTGGGCAGCCCCCTGGCCGCAGACCCCAGGAGGCCGGGTGCCGCTGCCAGGCCTACCGAGAGTGGGGACTCTGCACTGAGGGAGTGCTGTTCGGTGAGCAGGCAGGCCTGGAAGGGGACATCCAGGCAGCACTAGGGACAGGGGGAGGCACAGCCCCAGAAGGAGGACCTAGACCACCCAGGAACCTCAGCCTGGTAAGTGCGCCTTGGTGCAAACCTGGCTCTGCTCCTGGAGGGCTGTGTGATGTCGGGTAAGTTACTCAGCCTCTCTGTGCCTCTGTTTTCCCATTTGTGGGGCGGCTTTAGGATACCTTCTTCATAAGCCGCGAATTCCTACGAGCTTTCTGTGAGCTGATACACAGATAGCGCCCACCTCAATACCAGCCAGCAGGCCACCATGCAGAGGACTTACGACAAAGGAGAAGACAGCTCCCCCTGCAGAGGCGTCCTGAGGGACCGCTTTCCTTCTCCCTGTGACCCGGGTGTCCCAGGCAGTCACGAGGCTTGGGGAGAGAAGCCCCTCCGAGGAAGAATGGCTGACTGGGAGCCAAGCAGGACTTGCATCCATGCTGGGGATTCACAGCCGTCAGTGCAGAAGAGGAAGCTAGGCCTGGGCCCCCTGCGCCCCCCACTCCGCAGGAGTCTGGAGCCCCGTCCCAGGGATCCAGTTGGGGATCTGGGGGTCATTATGTAGCTGACCTCAAGGGTCACAGATAGGGGCTCTGTGGGTGGGATTAAAATACTGGGAGTATCTCCAGGTGTCCGAGGGAGGACTGGACATGTAGAGTGATTTTGAGTGGCTCTGGGCCCCTACTTGGGAGCAGTCTGGTAGAAAGTGAACCTACTGATTGGACCCCGTAGCACCAGTCATCCTGGGCAGCAGCAGTGTGGCGTCAGCCTGCCCATGCACAGATGTCACCAGTCCCCGCCTGGTCCATGGCTGCTGTGGATGCGCATCTTTGCAGTCAGCTGGGATCCCGAAGGGTCCCCAGATCCTTGGCTTACCAGAAGGTCCTATCTGTTCTTGGGTGCTCTTGTCTCCACTTCCCCTCCGTGTTTTCTGGGGCTTCTGTGACCTTGGTTTCGTTACAGAACTTGCTACATTAGCCCCTGGACCCGAGACCTATGACATCAGAATCCAGTATTGCCCTCTGCCCACCCTTGAGAGAATTTCATATTGATTCAATGAAGACTTGTATAATAGGGCTCTCCAGAGAAACAGGACAGGGAGAGAGAGCTTTATTTCAAAGAACGGGCTCATGTGATTATGTAGGCTTGGTAAATCCAAAACTTGCATGTGAGCTGGCCGGCCAGAGACCCCGGCAAGAGTTGTAATTGGCACCTACAGCCAGTCTGCTGGAGAATTCTTGCTCAGAGGTCAGCCTTTGGTCCAGGCAGACTTCCGGTGGTTAGGCTGAAGCCTGCTGCCTCAGCCCCATCGGGCTGCAGGAACACAGCCCCCTACACCGGGAGGCTTGCAAACCCCAGAGCAGATTGCTCACAGCTCCAGAGGCTGGAAGAGTGAGGTCCCGCTGGGGCCGTGGTCGGGTGAGGGCCTCTTGCCACACGCTTTGTGTGTGTGCTCGTGGTCGGGGGAGCAAGAGCTCCCTGGGGCCTCTTCTAAGGGCGGTAACCCCGCTGTGGAGTCGCCTCCATGGCCCCGCCTCCGGTGGCCCCGCCCCCATGGCGCCTAACACCACCACCTTGAGTAGGATCTCAACGTGAGAATCTGGGGGGACACAGGCATTCAGACCACTGCAACCCCCTACCCACATTATGGAGGGTAATCTGCTTTACTCAAAGTCCACCGATTCAAATGTTAGTCTCTTACTCACAGAAACACCCAGAATAATGTTTGGAACACATCTGGGCCCCGTGGCCTGTCCGAGTCGACACATGAAAGTAAACATTACAACTTCTACTTCAAGATAAATCCTTCCAAAAGTCCAATTTAACTCCCTTTCTTTCTTCCACAAAGTTTTGCAGCACTAACAGCACTGGTGCTGGCTCCAGGCATCCCCAAGCCCTTGTTGTACTGCCCAGGACAGGTTGAGTCTGTTTATGTGAGTCTAGATCCCTTTTGGAGGGGGTTTCTGGCAAATCTGAAAAGATTGCTTTAGGATCCATGGCCTGTGATTTGAAGCCACTCGAGTCGATGCTCTCCTGTGGGTTTATTCTCCTTGGGGCCCAGGATGAACGGGAAGCCTGCTTTCTCAAAGTAAATCCCTCTGGATTGTGGGGGACCAGAAAGTGACATCCTTTGCAGTGGACCTGGACTTGCCTCTGCTGTTTGGTCAGCCCCTTCTCTCTTTGCTTCCCGAGTTTGATATTCTATGCTTTGCACAGGTTGGGGTGTTCCGTGCAGTCTTACCAGGTGGGTGGTTTTAACCATCACAGCCAAGGGCAGTCATGTGACAGCATCCCTACATGTACATATAAAACATGTGCAACAGGTGCTTGGGCAAATGTGTCCCACTTGTCTCTCCCATACACTCCCATGTCCTACAGAATGCCATAAAGGAGAGCTTGTGCATAAATTCACCAAGAAAAGACCAGTAACTCTCATAATAAATATATTTTTAACTTCCCAACGAGCACTCAGAAACATTTTCAGCAGCACAATGAGCACTAAACATCAGAATCTTGCCTAGGCTAGACGCCGGGTGCTTCGTGCCCTCCCTGGGAAGGGCGCTGGTCAGGGCAGGGCCCTGCATCTCCAGACCCAAAGGGAAGACGGTCTGTAGCAACCTTGGAAAATCCAAAATCAAGCAATTAAAATAATTTTAAGAGGAGAAAAAGGACAATATAAGGAAAGTTGTCTTTGTTCTAGGAAAGTTTTTTTTCTTCACGGTACAATGACTCATTTATAAAGAGGAAGTGAGTTCTGTTGAAAATACTTGAAATATTCTCTCAGGGGAAGAAAACAGTTCTTCACCAGGTTGGCTGGCCTCTGGGTGGGGGCCTTTGCTCTCTGCTTGTCCTGAGCCAGCAGGGACAGTTCTTCTTCGGAAACCAGGGCCGAGTGCCTGCTGTGGAGAGAAGGAGGCCTGTTACCACCCCAGCATGGCGGGAGAGAGGCTGGTGGACAGGGACGGCTCAGTGGCAGTGAGCTGGCTGGGCCAGTCTAGCTAGATTATCTAGGGCTCTCTACGATAGCCCACCCATGTCTGGGTGAGATGACAGACATGTCCTGGGCAGTAGGGGGCAGAGAGGGACCCCAGGACAGACCCATGGCCCAGCCGGGCAGGCCCCACTTTCAGACGGAAGCCATCATAGTGTGAACCCACAAGGTGGGAAGGGCGGGACTCAATGAGCAAGGCTGCGCAGACAGCATTGTGCGTTGTGCCGGTGTCCCCAAGGAATTCTGCTGAGCAGCCTCTGCTGGGCCCTGCAGCTGCCGAGCTCAGGCCCTGGTGTGGCAGGGGTCGGCACGCACATCCCCCACGGAACCACTGCTGACAGTAAGCCGCAGCCCAGGGCTTCAGGGACCCAACACGCTCCCACCCACCTCACACTTCTAGGCACCCCGTTGCATTCAGGGAACAGTCCTCAGTTTACTTTGGGGGTGAAGGCCACAAATGAGATGCCAAAAACATGCAGTACCCCTCTCTGGGTGGCTGACCCCCCTGGGGAACTGTGGCTGTCCAGAAGCACCTGCCAGTTATCTCGGCAAAGCGAGTATGGGCATCTCTCCACTATTAAGACAACAGAAGTGTGGAGGGAAAATGCCCAGGGAAAGAAGCTGGAGCCCCAGCTGCCTCCGGCTTGGGTTCTGGGAAACAGGCACCCACAGCGCCACCCCACAGTGTCCACCTCCCTGAGAGGGGGTGGAGAGCGGGGGAGCCAGAGGCTGGGCAGGGGAGCCGGCACACAGGGGAGGCGGACTGACTCTCAAGGCTTCCAAAGAGAAAACGCTCTGCGGAGCTGCTTCATCTTAGCTTCACCTAAACACAGATCCTGGGTATGGGCAGGCGAGTGCCAAGCCCTGCAGGCATCGGCCCTGGGATCTGCCACACTGCCAGCTGGGAGGATGGAATTGGAGGGTGTGGGAAGAGGTTTCCAGAACTCACTGTCGGGAGAAAACATGACTTAGCTGTCCCAGAAGGTGTTGTCAATGGTGCTTGAACACAAGGGCAGGCTCCAGATGGTGGGGGGCATGGACAGGGAGATGGCCACCTGCTCAAGGGCTCTGGGGGGGACAGTGTGCAGGGACAGGGCAAGGCAGGGGTCCTGGGAGCAGAAAGGCTGCCCAGAGGAGTGGGGTTGGCCAGACCAGGGCTGTGGGTGTGGAGGGGGTGTCAAGTCAGAGACAGTGTCCATGAGCATGGTGCCCCAGGAATGCCCAGCAGCGGGGAAGGGTCTGTGGGGATCCCCGAGGAATGACGGCCGAAAGAGCAAAACCAGATCAGTCCAGCCCAGAGGCATCGTGGGTGTGCCAGCAAAAGAACAGGTGAGAAGTGTGAATGAGTGTTTGTGCTGTGTATACCTGTAGGTGTGAGAATGAGTGTGCGCAGCTGTGGGTGATGTGTGTGAGCAGGAGTGGGGTGGGGGTGGGGGACAAGGAAGTGCCCGGAAGGCTGGGGTGGGGGCCAGAAACTCAGAAAACATCAGCAGAAAGCTGGGAGCAGGTACCCAAAGTGGAAGGGGATGACCTGGAGAATGTGGGGAATTTTCGGGGTGGCCCCCGCTGGGACGCTGGTTGCGGCTCTGAGGAGAGGAGGCCCACTCTCCGGCTGCAGCTTCTTCGACGAGCCCGGGGGGACATGTCCCCCGAGCTTCTAAAGGACAGGACGCACTATAAGTACCTTTTCACAGCAGGGATGTTGCTCCATACATGCACGGCATTGTGGATGGCTCTGCCGCAGGCATCCGGGATGGTCACGGGGTCAGTCTGAGGGATGGAATGGGGATGGCTGTGGCTCAAGGTGACCTGGACATTGACCTCTGCCCCCACGGTGTCCAGGCCTCAGCTGCCACTGGGACCATGTCTGGCCCAGAACAGTCAGCACCCTGGTTTCTAGGCTGACTTTGCCTCACGGTTGGCATTGCCACACGTCACTTCTTTTTTCTTATAAATCACAAGATACTATTTTAAAACTTTTAACCCATGGTTTCTTCATTCCCACAGTCATGACCAGGGGTTCCCCACCCATGCCAGCTCATTGGTGATTCCCGTGAAGTATAAAGAATCCTTGGTCTTTGAGCCAAAGAATAAAGAAGGCTTTTATCTTTGAGCCAAGGGAATGTTCTGTCTTGGGAAGATAAGAGGCTTTGCTGGCAGAGAGCAGGGTTTCTACATTGCTGGGCAGTGCTCATCAGGAGCCCAGTGGGCTGCCTGAGTCCTGGTGTCACAGGCTCCCTAGAAGGCACAGAAGGATTGGGGGAGGAGGGGTGGGAGGTAAGAAGGACCTTCCATGCTGGGAGGGGAGCTGTGGAAGGGAGAGAGGCATACAGGGGAAACCAAGGCAAGAGGCCCTGTGGTCCCTGACACCCAACACAAGGTGGCCTTCACTTCACCTCCCTGGAGTCGGGAGGCTGGCAGAGAGGCCCACGTGGACCAGTTCTGATCTATCAGACACGTGTGTAAAATGACTGAAGGTCAGTATTTTTGCTGTCCTGGTGCCTGGGTTTGCAAACCGCAGTTTTTGGCCAGATCCATGACTATTCACTCGTACATTTTTTTGATAAACAGCGCAATTTATAAGCCTGGTCCTGACTACTGTTATATGGTGGCCTGTCAATATTGTTTAAATTCCAGACTTCCTGGTAAGGAGAAACAACCACAGATGTGGAAGAAAGCAAATGAATCATGATGACACTTGGCCAACTCTATGAAGATGATTTTTAAAAGCAGAATTTAGTGGATTATATTCCAGGAAAACACACCTTACCAAACTGACCTCAGAAAAGATGCAAATTTTAATGGATCAGTTTCCACAGAAAGGCTGCTTCTTTTTTAAGACAAAGGCAACAAATACCAATCCAGACAGTTTCACAGGGGAATTTTGTCAATTTCTCAAATGGGTTTATGAAGCAAATCTAACATTGGTGCCCGAACCCAACAAAGATCACATGAAAGAAAGAAACTACATACTAGTCTCTCCTGTGCTGGTCAAAGCAAGTGTCCCAAAGGAGATGTTCCCCAGATGGGCGCAGACACCACAGCTGAGTGGCTTTTTTGCAGGAATGCAAGGATGGCTCATTAATAGGAACTCAATTAGCATACTCTAACCCTATTACTAGGTCTAAAGAGGAAAATTATCTAATTATCTCTACAGATATAAAAAAGAACATTTGGCAGAATCCAACAACTATTCTTGATAAAATTACTCAAAAAGAAGAAAGAAAGAAACCAATAGAAACTTCTGGGAACTTTCTTAACATAGTGAAATGCATCAACGCCAACCTAAAGCCAGTGTTAGTTTAGCAGGGAAATACTGAGAACATTTCCAAGAAAGTCAGGAATGAGACACAAACACCTAGAAATCTCATTCAATGAGCTGAAAATGACCCATTCCACAAGGTAATTCAGGAAGGCTGCAGGAACAGAACTAATGCCACAGGGGGAACGGAAAGGCAGGATGCTTGGAGTAAATGTAACCAGAGCCACAGGATAGCTCGTGACTCTGCAGGTGAGGCCCGGGCAAGGCACCTCAGCTGTGCTGGTGGGCCTGTGGACTGGGACCACTTCCCAGGGTGATGGCCGTGTCTATGAAAATGACAAGCACTCCGTCCTCCGACCATCAGCCTCTGCCTATGATTGAGTCCTAGGTATCCTCATACACCCCTTCTTTGGAGCAAAAGTTTAAAAACAACCCAGTTATGCATTAATAGGGAACAGTCACATACATTCTTTATGTTCATACAAAGTCAAACTGCACAGAGCAAAACATGTATGCTGAAACACAGGATGAGAAAGGTGCTTCTGCAGTGGAAGGATTCCCAGGGGACGGAGTGAAAGATCCAGACGCAGAGCCACAGTGGGCACGGGGTGCCTGCACCTGCGTAAAGAGACCTGGAGGCCCCAGGAAGCTAGAGGGGAGGCCTCGGGTGCAGGGGGGGGTCAGGGCAGAGAGGGGACTTCCATTAAGTTTGTAGACATTTAGATGTGGGGCGTCGTCCTGCCAGGAGGGCCCTGTGTGTGGTGGGGGTGCCAGGTCAGCCCTGGACGGACTGGGTACTGGGTTCAGGGAGGCTCCTCTGATGCACAGACAGAAAAAGCAAGGGTGTTGGCACCCGAGGGCATGTGGGAGTGTGTGCGGTACAATGTGTGAGCGTCTGTGTGGTATAGTGGCCCGTCCTGGAGCACAGCACGAAGGGGTGCCCTCTGAGGCCGCCCTGAGGGCTGTCTGTGCCTCTGTGGTGTTATGGCCCTGTGACTCTGAAACCCAGGCTCTGGGCTGGGGCCCAAGCTGCCCCCCAGCTGCCCCCAGAGAGCTGGCATGTCCACGGGAGACCATGGCCCTGCACATACCTCCAGAAAGCGAGTGGCTGTGGTCCGGTCATCTTCCCTCAGCACCAGGTTGTCCACAAACATCCAGAAGAAGGGCTGTTGGCTGGCCAGCCGGGGCCGTGAGTACTGCAGGATGCGGTGGAACTGGAACAGGTACCACCCTGGGGCGAGCACCATCAGGTGGGTCTGGGGGCATGGGGCTTGGGGCTGAGGCTGTGCCAGGGCAGGGGTGATTGGGAATGGGCCAGCTTCCATGTGGCCCCTGGCCCCCAGGTATCCTGCCCATTCCCTAGCAGCACGTGAGCCTCAAGGACACGGGTGTCTTCCAGAGCCAGACCCCAGCCTCACCCCACGCCCCGCACCTGTGCACTTGATGCAGGTGGCAAAGGGCACATGCTGTGTTCTTCCATGAATAACCCATTGGAGGAGCTGCAGGGACGGGACCCCAGCAGAGGCTACCTGGGGGTGGCAGTGTATCCCAACCCACTAAACTGCACTTGCCGACTGTGAACCACGTGTGTCGTGAAACCTCAGTGCAGCTGTCCTCTTAAAATGCAATGTACAATCTCTGCCCTCCCTGAGGAGGGCCAGGGACCGGGGCTGGGGGGAAAGAGGGTCTGGGCATGTTTTGCAGACTGTGGTCTCCTACCAGGCGGATGGTCACAGGCGTGACCCAGTGGGGGCGTAGAGCCATACACGAGGTCGAACGGGCCCCATTCTCGCACCTGCAGGACAAGGGCATGTGGTGGAGCTGGGGGCTGTCCTCTCCTGGCGGGAGCTTGGGAGGGCCAGGCAGTCACCACAGGACCCAGGGCAGCCTGTGCTGCTCACATCACATTCATGAGGCTGACCCACTCGCCCTGCAGGGCCACCAGGTGAGGCCCCCGTAGGTCTCAGTGGCCAGCCCTCTGCTAACACTGGGTTCTGAAGAGATTCCTTTGTGCCAGGTGCTGCACCTACAGAGCTGCTCCTGGGAAGGCTGACACACTGACCCTGAGGATGCACGGGGATTTTGTGGGTACCCTCACATGAACGCAGCAGCCAGCAGCCAGCAGCTGGGCTGCAGACTTCCTGCCGAGCACAGACAGCTCCCACAAAACCATGGAAGCCACACGGTCCTTCCGTGGCCAAGCTGGAGGAAGACTAAACCCACCAGTCCACCATCAAGCCTGAGCAGAAGCAGGGAAGGACGCCCTTCAACCACAAAGTGACCCAGTGCCTCTCTGGGGGCCTGGAGGGACTCTGCTTAATGACAATTCCAGCTGTGAGTCCTTCTCCCCCTCAGACCCCCACCCCCACAAAAAAATGAATGAGACACCTAAATACTGGATCCCTGGATTTCTGACAGCAGTTCCTCCAGAACAGACCCCTGCTTCCTGGACCCTTCCCCCAAATCACTGCAGCCTCTGGCCCCAAACCTCACCCACTGCCCAGCATGGTCCTGGTCCCGGCGAGCTAATAGTGCCAACTACAAGTGTGCTCTGGGTACAGCCAATTGTGGCCCACTGACCACAGCTGCGGTGTGTGTGGGGGGGTGTCAGCCAGGGGGATGGGCAAGGGGGTGCCGGAGGTGAGTGAAGCTGGTGGCCTGGGTGCACTGATCTGGGTAAGCAGTGTGGATGGAGCAGCTCACAGAGACGCAGCTGAGTGTTTGGGGGAACGCCTAGCCCCCCCAGCCAGCTGCCCATTGGGCCAGAAAGGGAACCTGCTAGAGAATGCGAACCTGCCAGAGAATGTGTTAAAAATCCCAAATCTGCAGCCGTGTGTGGCAAGCAGACCTTGGGAACGGGGTGAGCACCAGCCCCTTCACAGCTGCAGGAAGGGCTGCAAAACAGTAAAGCCATTTCACAGGCTTTAATACTCTCCATGTTCCAGACACAGAATCTGGCATTGGGGTAAAGGAGAGACTGGGGTCCCCCTGCCCTGAGACCATCAGGAGGTGGCTCTCTCCCTTCCCTCGGCTTCGAGGGGCTCATGATCCAGCTGGGTGATGGCAAGTCATTTTTAGGCATTTCCTTCAAGGCTACCACCCAGGATGGCAGGAAATAGCCCTGAAGGGAGCCAGGCCACCTCCTCGCACTGTTGAGTATGTTTTCAATCAGTGACTGTTTATTTCAAGACTCGGCACTTTCATTTTAGAGGGGGCATGGAGGAAAATCTGTCTGGGCCTCTCAGGCGGCAGGATTGCCCCTTGGATTTCAACAGGGCAGATGGGAAGTGTGGCCGAGAGCTCTGTTGGGGCTGGGGCAGCATGCAGGCCAGGGAAATGTCTCCTCATCTCTCCTGCTGGGGGGAATAGCCTGCAGCTGTGCAGATGGCCGGAGAGAGCCATGCAGGCCCGCAGCCCCTCCCCAGGCCCCTATGCTCCTCCCTACTCCTCCCTGCACCCAGCCCTCCTGCACACCCCCACCTGGCCCCCACCTGGACCCCCGGCCATCCCTGCACCCCCATCTGAACCCCCTGGGTCCCTGCCACTTCCTGCACCCCACCCCTGCTGCCAGTGCACCCCCCACCTCCTCCCCACAGCATGGCTGTGGGGCCCCTCTACACCCGCTGCGCATCTAGGCCTCGAGTCAAGCAGTACTTACATCTCTCCTCACTACATCGGTGACGTCATCCAAATGTTTCAGTCTCCCTGGGTCAGAACCGGTTTCCAAAAAGCCTAAACTTGTTAGCTCTGGATATGGAGAAGTAAGGACACAGAAGGGCTAATGTTGATTTTGAGCCCACATAGAATCAAAAGGCCAACACTGATCAGAGAACGGGTCTGCTATTAATGAGTGAACTGTTTCTTTAATGACATGACAGGACTGAGGAAGAAGATACATGTTGCATCATAAATTCAGTGAGCAAGCTCCTCTGACCCTGGACAGGAACGTCAGGCCATGTGCTGCAAGCCCAGGCCTCCCTGGGTGCCACACTCTGGTTAGGAATCTGCCTGGTGGCAGAGGCCATGCTCGTGCCCGTGCTGGGTGGTGCCTAGGCCCCTTCAGCTGGCAGGCTTTGCCTGCTCTGTGCATGTCCCAGGCCCAGCCATGTCACATGGGTGTGCGCATGTGTGAGGCCATGTGACCATGTCACAGCAGGCAGGCAGCACAGTGCAGAAGCAGGCAGACCCCGAATCACTTCCAGAGACTAAGGAACATTCCCATGGGTCCTTCTCATGTCTGCTGGGGCCGCAAGAATCCATAGGATTTCCAAAGGCACCAGCAGGTGGGGGAGCAGAGCAGGGTCCCCAGGGGGCAGGGCATCCAGGAAAACTGGCACATAGCCTGTGGCCAGCCTGACTGAGCCGGGCATTTGGGCCACAGGGTGGTCAAGTGTGAGGTGTCTGAAGTGGACTTTGGAGTTTGGTGGCCACGGGCAGGCTGTGGCCTGGTTGGGCGCCCTCATCCCTGGCACTTTACACCTGCTGGCTTGCTTTTTGTTTTTCTTCCAAGGCATCCTTTCTGATGGGGCTCCTGGAACCACCCCACTCCCTGCCTCCTGAAAGTGGCCCTCAGGCCATCTGCTCACTGGGCCACACCCTTGACACAGGGAACTGCCCAGATGCTCAGCAGGCGGGACGCCTGGAGCATTCTGTCCCCCCAGGTGCCCTGGGGGTCTCGCTCCAGGCAGACCCATCTTTTCAGTGTGAGTCCTCTGAACTTCACTGTGCTCACCTTTCTTGATGTCCCCGAAAAGGGACAGCACCCGGACTGGCTCTCTCTTCCACACAGGTACAGTTTTATACATCTCAAGGGGACTTTCCTGTTTATTTAAAATAAAGGGTTTGCAGGGCATTCTGACAGCTCCTTGGTTACACAGCCCTCCAGTTGCCAAGAAACCCCTCCAGCCAGTGGGAGCATTTCCCAACCATGCACCTGCCGAAGCCGCTGGCCTGCCCTGGCCACACTGCCCCCGCCACCTCCATGAAGACACCCCCAGGCCAAGCTGTGCGGCTCTGGCCCCCACCAGGCTGTCGCTAGCAAAGGTACGGCAGGTGTGAGAGGATTTTCCTGATTGTGAAGGAAGACAATTCCATCCCAAAAGGAAGCATGTCCTTCGTGTTTCTAGGACAGCCTCTGATCTGGAGGGTTTGGAATGTGCACAGCAGTGTCCTCTTCCTCCCCAGCATGGACTCTGAACATGAGCCCCAAGACACCTGGCACCCCTGAGAGCTGCCAGCTGAAACAGAAGCTGTGGATCACACCCACCCTCCCCTGCTAGGATGCTGATCTATTTGTAAAAACGTCCCCCCACCTCCAGGACCTCTGGTCCCCAGGAGGCTGCACTTGGGGGTGCTTGGCCCAAACAGAGCATTAAACTGCTGATGGCTGGAGACCAGGCCTGTGCAGGGGGCCACCGGCATGTGAAGCTGGCAGGAGACCCTGGGGTACACGGGGAGGGGCTGCCTGGGGCTGGAGGAGATGGGCTGGTGGGCTGTGAGTCTGCAAGGGCAGGAGCTCCCAGACTGCCTGGGGGCACGTTCGGCTGCTGGCACAGGTGCGGCTCTGGGAACCCTGGAGCACATGTCCCTGTCCCCAGTGCCGCTGGAGGGGCAGGCTTCCTGGGTGGCACCAACCACTGCGTCTTCCTCCCAGTGAAACTCCTGCAGCGTGCTCACACAGGGGCTTTCTACACTGAGATGGAAGGTCCTACATGGACCTCCAGAGAACTCTCTCCACAGGGTGTGCAAGCGCCATAACGGCGCAGGCATACCGTGTCTGTGGCAGGAAGTGTCTGTGTGCCCACCCTGTGTCGGGGAGCCTGTGGACAGGTGCCCACTCATGTGCCCTGTGGGTAGCCCAGCGGTGCTGTGCCAGTCTCCAGAAGCCATCCTGCCCACCGCCATGGGGCAGAGAGCCCTGCCCGGTGCTGGCCCTGAGGAGAGAGGCATCCCTGGGGCTGGGGACACCCCCCGGGGTCAGCGAGCACCCCTTAGCCCCAGTGGTGACACGTGTGCAGCTCCAGCAGATCCAGGGTGGCAGGCAGTGGGCAGACGTCTCGGCCTGCCTGCTTTCCCCCTAGGCTGCAGCCCACAGCACCAGCCGCAGCTGGCGAGGTTGCTCCCTTTCTGCTACCTCAGGAGACGACTTTGCTCAACTTGCAGGAATGTGAGATGGTGGTGGAACCCAGGGGCCCCCGTGCTCCCTGTGGGCCCCTTGCTGCCTGCTGCCTGCCCCCCGAGGCCTCATCCCTTCCATCTTAGTTTCCTGGGACTATCCTACCAAATGGACATCAGCTGTGTCACTTAAAACTACCAATATATTCAAGAGGCCAGAAGTCCCAGCTCCCGGTGTGAGCAGGGCTGACCACCTCCGGGGGCCCCCCAGCTCCCCCAGCTCCTCTGGGGTGGCCAGCAGCCCTCGTAGTCCCTGGCTTAGAGACAACCGCCCCAGCCTTTCCCCTCTCGGCACATGCCTGTCTGCCCTCTGCTTCTCCACGTTCCAAATCTCCCTGTCGTCATCCTGCTAGGATGCCAGTCACTGCGTTCTTCTAGGACGCCTCCCTGATCGGGGTCGGCCTCTCCTCGGGATCTAGCTAAACACCATCTGCAAAGATTTTCTGTCCTCTCATTCGTGGGCTCTGGGGTTAGAACTTGGATGGATCTTTTGAGGGGACAGAGTCCAACCCACTTGGATGAGCCCGGAGTTCCTGCGGTGCTCCCGGCTCCCGGCCTTGACTCTCCTGAGTGCCCATGTGTGCCGCGCGTCAGTGCCCCGGCTGAGCCACCAGGCGCGGCCAAGTGCTGGACTTGGAGGCACACCTCTGCCAGCGCCTCTCCTGGCTGCTACAAATGCCCCGTGCCCAGGCCTCGAAGAGACAAAACTGCCATTCTACAGCAAGTTTTAAAAATGGACCCGTCCAGTAGAGCTTGCTATCAAAGGGGAAAATGAGAAATGTGCATTTGCTTCAAAGCCTTTAACTTCAGCACGCATCAGATGGGCATTTTGCAGTGAGTATCCGGAGAAAACAAAATGGGGGCCCGCACCCCGCCTGTCCTGGAAGCCCAGCAGCCCTTACCGACTCTTGGTCGCAGAAGGCTTTCAGCCGAGCCCGCCACTTCCTGCGCCTGCGCAGCAGCCCGCTATGGGGGAAGGGCAGGCAGAGGAAGCACACCCAGTTACTCATGGCCTGAATTCTCCCCGACGTCCCGGGGCTGACCAGCGTGTCGACGCACTCGAAACAGTAGCATCTGGAGTCAAACAGAAAACCACAGTGGCTGAAATGACATTCCTGTGGCCTCCAGATGAAACCTCAGTCACGGGCAGACAGAGGTGAGCCCGCTCCCGGTCTCAGCCTCAGAGAGCGCCGTGCAAGCTGCAGTCAGGCACACGTGGAAAGACAACCGGCACGGTGGAGGGTGAAGTGGACAGGGGAATGGGGGCCAGTTCCTCCTAGAGACCTGGAGTGACAGGAACCCAGTGATCTGCAGAAGGCAGCAGGGCTTATGAATAAAGATAGATTTCAAAGAATCCCCTAAGCCACCTGTCTAACTCTGAGCCTGCAGAAAGAGGTCTGGCCTCCCAGTGAAGCAGGTGCAGGAGCACAGGCTGGGGGCGGGGCAGATGTGGGGAGGGTGAGCGCAAGTTGGCCACACGGACTGGGGTGAGGCGGCCACGTGAGGAGACTATAACCCCCCCACCCCACCCTCACCATTGGCCCCGCACCCCTGGCCTCACCGGGTGCAGTCGGGGTTTTCACAGATGAGCAGTGTCTCTCCCGTGCAGCAGATGGAGCAGTAGGACTGGTACCCGTCATCGTCGTACAAGAAGAGGCAGTTCAGGAACTTGTCCTGGGATGGAGGAGAGGCAAAGCCAGGCTAGGGCCTGCTCTGCTCTGAGGGCTCCCTGAAGCCACCCGCACCTTCCCGCTTACCTTGCAGGGAGCGCACATCCCCCCCTCAAACAGAGGGTGCTGTGTATGCACCTGGAAACTTCCACAGCAGATGCACGTATCTAGGGTGGACACCCAAAGTGCACGTGTGTCGTAACACCATCACAGAGTGTGACCGACTTAGGACTAAACTTAATAAATGAAGCACAAGACCTATACACTGAAAACCATAAAACGTGGTTGAAAGACATCAAAGATCTAAACAAAGGGAAGGTAACCCACAGTCATGGATCAGAAACTCAGCATTGGTAAAACGGTGAGCCTCCCCAAATTGGTCTACAGATCCCTCTCAAAACCCCAGCTAGCTTTTTTTCCTTTTGCAGAAACTGTCAAGCTGGTCCTGAAGTGCACATGGAAATCAACAGGTCCGAGACAGGCAGATTTACAGAGAAAGAAAGGAGACTGATGGCTGCCTAATGTTGAAAGACGACGCAGGGGTTGGGGGCGATGGAGTGTAACTCTGAATGGGTATGGGGTTTGTTTTGAGGGTAATTAAAATGTCCTAAAATTAGACTGTGGTGATTGTTGTGCAACTCCATAAATACACTAAAACAGACTGAACTGTGCACTTCGAAGCCCCAGGGGCCCTGGGCAGGTGGAGGGGAGACGGGAAGGCCCCAGCGACATCATCTGCCTTCTTCCAGGGGTGGAGGACTGATCAGGGCTTAGGCAAGCCTTTCTGGGGCTGGGTGACCTTCCCCACCACCTGGGCCCGGCAGGCGGCAGCCACTCACCTTCTATGTCTCTCTGGTTAACCTTGACTTCATATGCAATGAGATCTGGAAAAGAAAAGTGGCCCTTCCTTCCTCTGCCTGCCTCTAATTTAAACATGGCCAGGAAGGTCCATCTTCTGATGGCCCAGGAGCCAGAGGACCCCTGCCACCCCCCACAACCCCCGCCTTCCCTGGCATGATGACATGGGGGCCTGTGGGAGCCTCTGGGTCGGGCCCTCCTGCCGCTGCCTGGCCCCCGCGTGCTGCCCGCCTGGCCCCCGCGTGCTGCCCAGGCCTGGGCCTGGCTTCCTGAGGGCCAGGCCCTCACCTCTGCGGGGCCCGGGTGAAGCGGGTGATGACAGCTCGCTGGAGCCCACCAGGATGATGTCCGTGCTGCATTCTGCCTCGGGGTCTGGGACTGGGACACGCAGGGGAAGGGAATGGCTGTTAGCCTCTGCGCAGGAGCCCCTGGCCCCCAGTGTGGCCGATGGAGCAGGCCACCTGACTCTCAGCAGGGATGAAGGTGCAGGAAGGCCTGCAGTGAGTGCCACCCCTGTGAGGGGGTCAGTATGTCCCCTGCCACATGTCCCTCCCTGCCTGGGGCCCCTGCCACCATTGGGTAAGGGGCCCTTCTCACCAAAAGGGGAGTGTAGGGGACCTTATGGAGCCACAGTCTGCCCATGCAGATCTGGGCCCCTCAGACACTCCCGTACCCCTCTTCCCAGTGTCCCCCAGACCCAAGCCTGCAGCTTCTCCTATCAGAGCCTCAAAGGCAGGAGGCTGAGGAGAAATGGCCTCACGGATTTCACAGGGTGGCAGCCACGGTTCCCCGTCCAGCTGTCCGGCAGGTTCGGAGTCAGGGTCCCCATGGTGGATGGTCTCCAGGCTGGGGCTCCCTGGGGAGGAGAGGGCCATGGACCCGGGTGAGGGGCCTCCGAAACCAGCCGGGCACCTTCAGGTGGAAGGACTGGGGGTGGGCGGCTGAGGAGCAGGGTGGAGGGCGGGGGCGTGCAGGGTGCCCACGTGATGTGCGGGGGCGGAGAGGGGCGGGAAACCCTCAGTGTGCAGGTGGGCGTGTGTAGGGCAGAGGGGTGAGGTGCTCACAAGGGAAGGGGCTAGGGAATACAGTGACAGGGAGGGGAGGGGAGCCCTCGGGTGGGGAGCCCTTGGGTGGGGAGCCCTCGGGTGGGGAGCGGCTGAGAGCTCGGGAGAGTGAGGGGCTGGGGCGGTGGAGGGGAGGGTGCTTGGTAAGGGGGAGCTGGATGCAGGCTGGAGTTAGGGGTGGGTGGGTCTCAGGGCAGGGCGAGGAGCTGGGGAGCTCAGTGGGGTGAGGGGTGGAGGACTGGGTGCTCAAGAGCAGGGCCTAGAGGACTTGGTGCTGGGCCAGGCTGGGGTGGGGCTCAGGGTGAGGGGGTTCAGTGAGATTTCAGGGAGCTGGGTGGCATACAGGCCGAGAGGCGAGGAAGAGAAAGTGAGGGGGTGTTTACTGCATGGGGATGGGCCAGGGGCACTTGGGGCATTTGGGGGGTGCTCAGTTGCCGGGTCTCAGTCAGGGACTCCCAGCAGGAGGCAGAGGACCACCTGGCAGCTGTGCCACTGCCCCTTGTACTGCTGGGCAGGAGCAGGGCAGGCCTGGAGCGTGACTCCCTCCCACCCCACTGGGTGAGGGCTGGGCCTGGGGCGTCCCTGTATCAGGGGCAGTAGAGCTGGTAGGGCGCCTTTGCAGCTAGACTCCTGACACACATGCCTCACCAGGTGATAAGGTCAACAGCCAGCGACAGATCATAGGTGGCATGCACGGGACCAGAAGGGATGAGGCTACCTCACCGCTATGGCCTTCCTTCCAACAGCCCATGAGCCCTACAGCTACCCAGGGGAAAAGCTCTAGAAAATCCCAATGGCGGAACTTCCTGCAGTCCAGTCCTGCATTACCTGCCCAGTACTCCTCAAAACTGTCAGGGCCATTGGAAGCAAAGAAAGTCTGAAACTGTTACAGCCCAGAGGAGCCCATGGAGATAGGATGGCTAAGTGTCATGTGAGGCCCTGGGATGGGAAAAGCACATTACAGAAAACTAAGGAAATCTGAGCGAACTGTGGCTTATTAGTTCAATTACTAACAATGTATCACATTGGTCTGTTAATTGTAACAAATGTAGCACACTAACCCTGAATGTTAATAAAAGGGGAAGCTGTGTAGGATTTATGGGAACTCTGTATCAGCTTTGCACATTTTCTGTAAATATAAAACTTCTAAAATAGCTTTTTTTTTGTTACAGTAGAACATTATTATAGCTGCCATGCTGTCCATAACATCCTCATGACTTACTTATTTTGTAACTGGGAGTTTGTGCCCTTCTACCCTCTTCACCCATGTTGCCCACTGCTCCCTGGCAACCACCAGCCTCTCTCTGTATCTGTGAGTTCAGGAGGTCTTGTTTTGTTTTGTTTTAGGTTCACATATAAGTGAGGTCAAAGGTATTTGTCTTTCTCTGACTTGTCTTGCTTAGCATAATGCCCTCAAGGTCCATTCTTGTTCTTGCGAGTGACAAGATTTCATTCCTTTAATAACTGCATAATACTCCATTGTATATATGTGTCACATCTTTTTTATCCATCCATCCATCCATCCATCCATCAACACTTAGGTTGCTGCCATATCTTGACTATTGTAGGTATTGCCACAGTGAACACAGGGGTGCAGATATCTTTCCCAGTTAGTGTTTTAATTTTCTTCAGATAAATACCCGGGAGTGGAATTCCTAAATCATATGTTTTAATTTTTTGAGGAAGCTGCATACTGTTTTCCCGTAGGGGCTGCACCAACATATACTCCTGCAACAGTGCACAGTGTTTTCTTTTCCCCACATCCTCGCCAACACTTCTTGATACTAGACAGAATTTCTAACAGGTGTGAGGTGATGGTTCATTGTGATTACATTTCCCTGATCATTAGCGATGTTGAGCATCTTTTCATGTGTCTGTTGGCATCTGTATGTCTTCTTTTGAAAAATGTCTGTTCAGATCTTCTGCCTACTTTTAAATTGAAATGTTTGTTTTATTGCTATTGAGTTGTATGAGTTCCTTATATATTTTGGGTATTAGCCCCTAATCAGATACATGATTTGAAAGTATTTCCTCCCATTCAGTAGGTTTGCCTTTTTATTTTGCTGGTTTACTTTGCTGAGCAGAACCTTTTTAGTTTGATGTCATCCCATTTGCTTATTTTTGCTTTTGTTGCCTTTGCCAAAGAATCATCACCAAGACCTTAGTCAACGTGCATACTACCTATGGTTTCTTCTGCAAGTTTATGGTTTCAGGTCCAATGTTCAAGTTGTAATCCATTTTGAGTTTATTTTTGTACATGGTATATGGTAGTCATCCAGTTTCATTCTCTTCCACACAGCTGTCCAGTTTTCTCAACACCATTTGAAGAAAAAACTGTCTTTTCCCCATTGTATACCCTTACCTCCTTTGTCATAAATCAATAAACCACATATGTGTGGGTTTATTTCTGGGATGTCTACTTTTTTATTTTCTATTTTTTATTTTGGTATCGTTAATCTACAATTACATGAGGAACAGTATGTTTATTGGACTCCCCCCATCACCAAGTCCCCCCCCCACAAACCTCATTACAGTCACTGTCCAGCAGTGTAGTAAGATGCTGTAGAATCACTACTTGTCTTCTCTGTGTTGCACAGCCCTCTCCGTGCCTCCCCCAACATTATACATGCTAATTGTAATGCCCCCTTTCTTTTTCCCTGCCCTTATCCCTCCCTTCCCACCCATCCTCCCCAGACCCTTTCCCTTTGGTAACTGTTAGTCCATTCTTGGGTTCTGTGATTCTGCTGCTGTTTTGTTCCTTCAGTTTTCCTTTGTTCTTATACTCCACAGATCAGTGAAATCATTTGGTACTTATTTTTCTCTGCCTGGCTTATTTCACTGAGCATAATACCCTCTAGCTCCATCCATGCTGTTGCAAATGGTAGGATTTGTTTTCTTCTGATGGCTGAATAATATTCCACTGTGTATATGTACCACATCTTCTTTATCCATTCATCTACTGATGGACACTTAGGTTCCTTGGCTATTGTAAATAGTGCTGCAAAAAACAGAGGGGTGCATTTGTCTTTTTCAAACTGGGCTACTGCATTCTTAGGGTAAATTCCTAGAAGTGGAATTCTTGGGTCAAATGGTATTTCTATTTTGAGTTTTTTGAGGAACCTCCATACTGCTTTCCACAATGGTTGAACTAATTTACATTCCCACCAGCAGTGCAGGAGGGTTCCCCTTTCTCCACAACCTCACCAACATTTGTTGTTGTCTGTCTTTTGGATGGTGGCGATCCTTACTGGTGTGAAGTGATATCTCATTGTGGTTTCAATTTGCATTTCTCTGATGACAAGCGATGTGGAGCATCTTTTCATGTGTCTGTTGGCCATCTGAATTTCTTCTGTGGAGAACTGTCTGTTCAGCTCCTCTGCCCATTTTTTAATTGGATTATTTGCTTTTTGTTTGTTGAGGTGCATGAGCTCTTTATATATTTTGGATGTCAACCCTTTATCGGATCTGTCATTTATGAATATATTCTCCCATACTGTAGGATGCCTTTTTGTTCTATTGATGGTGTCCTTTGCTGTACAGAAGCTTTTCAGCTTGACATAGTCCCACTTGTTCATTTTTGCTTTTGTTTCCCTTGCCCAGGGAGATATGTTCATGAAGAAGTTGCTCATGTTTATGTCCAAGAGATTTTT